CTGGGCCGGGGTTAGAGAGGAAAAGGAGGGAATCGGAAAGAATGCGAACGAAATCATATCATCACAAAATAGATATCCCAATGCTAGCACCACTACTGTAAAACCCAGATCCCCGATCATCTTGCCGCTAACGAATTGATTTTCTTAATTATTATCTCAGTGCAGAGTAGATCTCCAGAAATCTGTAACTCGAAGTCAGAAGTCAAGTTACTTGCCTCAGACGAACGACCTCCAAAGCATGAATGGATAGACACAATACGAATAAAAAAGGGTCTCTCCAGTGACCCGGAGAGGAAAAAAAAAAAAAACAAAAAAAAAGAGGGGAATGCAAAAAAATTTGCTTAGAAGATCGGACAGGTTGCGTATCCTTTGCGTCGAGGGTTTTTGCCTTAGCTTGCCAATGCTGGGGATACAAAAATCTGCCCGACTTTGGGCCTAACGTCCCAATTGAAAAGGCTACTTATTTAAATGGTTGGTGCGTGGGGGAATGGTTCAGCTTTGGAATGCCGTTGTAAGTGCCTAGAACCCAGTCCTCTCTGTTCCGAAGACGTTTGACAAAGCTTCTTGGCCGCCAACTAAGTCAAGTATATAACTTAAGTGCAACATATGATTCGTTTCATAAATTTTTTAGTGATAGTCGAGTTGGGAATTGATTAGATTTGTCTTTGTTCTGCATCACTGTTTATTTAATAGGGCTGCCAGTCAAGATAAAAACTGTTTAAGTCTTAAATATATATGGCTGGTGTGTTATCTCCCTCGGTACCTGAACTAAGAAAGGTTAGGTAGGAATAAGATGCGGACTAAAATGAATGATCGACTGATAAATGAGACTTGTTTGTCTCAGTCTCTTAGCACAGACTGGGAATGTTATAATAGACTCAAATAGACCAAAATTGAAAATCAAGCACAAAAATACAAATATCCCAAAAATCCTTGAAAATAAACACATTTTTATCTGATGGAAATCAAATTTGCTTGATTTTCTCTCTTTGTGGAAAAAGTAACAAAGCTTGATTGTTTTCGAGAGATTTAGTAAACAGCCCAGGGACTAAGGATGTTTGTTTCTAATACAGGCTAGTTGCTATGTATGAATTTACATAAGTAATGTTTTATAGTTTTATAGTTTTATAGAAATACCCTGCACTTCCAATGATTATCATCCTCAGTCCAAGAAGCGAAGCCACAATAATATTTGATGAATAAAGCTTAGCATACAGCTTCAGACATTTTTTCATGAGTGAAATTCCAATCCTAAAGCAGTCATCAATGTTCCCTGGGAACACCTGATTTTCTATCCCTAATTCTCCATTTTCAATTTTCCTTTCTCAAATTCCTGATTTTCCATCTCTAATTCTCTATTTCCCATTCTCCAATCTCCATTATCCATTCTCAATTCTCCATTTCCCATTTGCCATCGCCTATTATTCATTTCTCATTGTCCGTTTCCCATTTTCAATTCTCCCATCTCCGTTCCCCATTTACCATTTCCAATTTCCCATCGCCCACTCTCCATTTCCCATTTCTCGTTCTCCATTTTCCATTGCCTATTCTCCATTTCCCGTTGCCCATCCTCCATTTCCCATTCTCCATTTCCCATTTTCCATTTCTCGTTCTTCACTTCCCATTCTCCATTCTTCATATCTCCTTTCAGTCACATCCTTCCATAACCATTGGTTACTCGCATAACTCTGATTTGTGTCAAAAGATAAAGGCACAACCATCTCCCTTCGGTCCTTTGAGAGAGACCAGCCTCTCAAGCAGAATTGGTGAATTCCCACCATTTATTAACAAGACGTGAGTTGTGTCACTGACTGATTTACATCAGCAGGATGTTTCTGTGGCAATTATGTACCAACTTTCAAGAAAAAGGAAAACCAAATAAAAAGCCGAAATAACTCAAGGATTTACACGAGAAATTAATTGCTCTAAGCGTTAAGAGTTTGTACTAAGAAATACGCAGTCGCAAGAAATTCTATTTTAGTGACACGAGACTTGTGGACTAAAAAAACTGCAAAAGACAAAACTGCTTAAAAAGCTATAAAATTAAGTCGCAAGTTTATCGTTAGGCATTCTGTCTGTTCTAAGGGACGATTAAAGGAAAAATATTCGAAATCCATATCAGCAGAGTTCAAACTGATGTTTTCGCAATTTTCTGCAGAAAGTATTGTACTGGCAAGTCTTTTCCGCGCCTAGAATCTCGTTTAAATAAAAATTTTGGTGGAAAACTTTTGGTTGAGTCACAAGAAAATTTACCGGATCCCCCCAAAGGCTCTGTAGTATTCTACAGGCCCCGGTTGTTCGAAGGGTGGATAACGCTACGCACTGAACAACCACGCTCTCAGGCAGTCAATTTTCTATAGTCCCCTTTAATACTCTGTTAGCAGAGACTGATCCCTCCTCCGTTCCCCTTGAAAACCATGTTACCCACC